CATGGCAGGCAGCTGCTTGTTACCTCCCCACTGACCAAAAAAACACCCACCCTAATGCACGCTCTCCAAAACTCTCTCCTCTCTCACACACACACTTTGCAGAAGAAGCAGAACAAAGCTGTCACTGTCCGCTCCTGGGGAGGTGCCAAACCTCACAGCCAGCCTTCCAAATCCTCCCGAAGCCTTATCACCAGGACACAGCAAGAAAGATAAAGAAACCGCAGCCCGACTGCCAAAATGTTCTGCCACCTCCTCAGCACTGGGGGCTTTTCTGAAGAGGTCACCTTCCCAGCATGGCCCCCGCCACCACGCGATAGGAATGTGGAGGGTGCATTATTCTTTTGCTAAGGGAACCCTTGAGGAGGAAGAGGCAAACCTGCCCTCTTCACGCTCTGCTTCCCCTCCAACACCAGCCGCAAGAGCCTGGCAGATCTCCTGGAGCCCTGAGCCCAGGTTGGTGGCAAGTCAGTGCCATCATGGGACGATGAAGAGCATCCTTCTCACCTCAGGTGACTCGAGATCCCAACCTGCACCTACCACTGGCTTGCTGTGTGGACTTGACCATGGAAAACCCTCAGTGTTCCTCAGTTCTTCATCCAGAAATTGGAGGTCATAAGAGCTCCGACCCTCAGAGGCATTTGGTGACAATGGAATAGAAAAACACAAGTTGAATGTGGAGACAGGCACCTGATATCCGTGTCCCCAGCATGTGTTATAAACCCCTGCCTGGTCTTCTCCTGGAGGGCTGACCCCACTCCTGACCAGAGTCCTCAGAAGCTCCCGGGGACTATGAGAACTGAGGCCCATGAGAAAGGTATTTGGGGTTAGTTATCGAATGCTGCACACAAAAATCACCCCACATCTTCGAGGTTTAACAAACAGAACTTACGTTGTCTGACAGTTTCCAAAATGGGTCTGAAATCCACGAGGGGCCTGTCCCTGGCTCAGGGTCTCTTGCGAGATTATAACTGAGATGCCAATATGGGCTGCAAGGATTTGACCAGGGGCAGATCCACCTCAACCTTACCCAGGGGGCTGCTGGCAGGCCCCAGCTCCACAAGGGCCTCTGAGAGGGCACTCACAACAGGGCAGTTGGCTTCCACCAGCTAGAGCAAGGGAGACAGCAGTGGAAAGGATGTCAGCCTTGGTAAGCTAATCCTGGAACTGACAACTCATTGTCCTTTGTTTCATTTTTCTTTGTTGAAAGTGAATCCCAATTTGCACACCCATGTTCACAGCAGCATTGTTCCCAGCAGTCAAAGGATGGAAGCAATCCAAGTAAGTGTTCATTTGTCAATGAGCGGAGAAACAAAATGCGGTATGTCCACACAGTGGAGTAGTACTCAGCCTTAAAAAGGAAGGGAATGGTGACGTGTGCAATATAGATGAGCCTTGAGGACATTATGCTAAGTAAGCTGAGCTGATCGAAAAGTGACAAACACCATCTGATTCCACTAATATGAGATACTTAGCTAGAATTACCAAATTCATCACGACAGCTGCCAGGGCTGGGGAGAAGGGTCATGGGGAGTTGTTGTTTAATGGGTTCAGGGTTTCAGAGATGCAAAATGTCAGAAAGTTCTGGAGATTAGTTGCATAGCCATGTGAATGCACTTAACACCACTAGACTCTGTTATGGGAATCAATTCTATGTTATGGGTATTGTCACACACACACACACACACACACACACACACACACTTACGCATGCATACACACAATGCAGGTCCAGATCACATTCACAGGGATGGGGTTATACCAGGGCATGGATATAAAGAGATGGGGATCACTGGAAGCTGCTGCCACATTCAGGGACATTTTTAAGGCCACCTGAGTGGCACTCACACCCAACATGTGCATGACAGCCCCTGCTAACTCTCAGGTGTGCACCTCCCAGGGAGAGTTCTGAAGCAACAGAAAAGCCAGAGTGAACCTGCTGCACAGGCACAGATTTCAAAATGTCTTGCAAACAGAGCTCTTTCCAATCAAGGAAGTCCCAGTGAAAAGCCAGTCCCACCGCCATGTTCTTTGGTGTCCAATACGTCCCACGGGAAGGCTAAGACCACAGTGCTGTACCTTCTCAGGCCCATCCCAGTTCCGAGTCCTTAGGGAACACGTCGTTGGCTGTCAAGGCCAAAGATATAGAGGGCAACAGAAGAGGGGCTCCCTGGTGTCTCAGAGTGGAATGTCTCCTTTTTCACCTGAGTTAGAGAAAAGGCATTTCAAGCACCGTGTTTCCTGTCTTGAGACCAGTTTTCTCTACCTCCTCAAAATAAATATTATAAAATGTAATTTTCTTTTCCTACATCAACTGAAAGCAAAGATGCATTTTTCAAGGGCTTAGAAGCCCACAGGAAGCAATTAGGACATATTTGGATTAAATGAGCTCCTGTGCAGCGTTCTGAGTGGGGAGTACCTGGTGTAGCGTAAGGTCTGACAATTCCACGTGGCACAAGACTGTATTCTGTCCAAACCAGACGCCTCTGAGACTCTTCAGGAAAACACGGCATGGAGTTTGGCCTCTCAAAAGCCCAGCATGGGTCAGAAGTTCCCACAGTGCCCACGCTCCTTTGTTCAAGTAGCAAGAGTAGCAGGCAGTTTTGCATTCAGAGGTTACCATGTCCGCACAAAGCACAGCCTTAAATACTAGAGGCACACTCGGTGCATGGAGATGTATACTCCGTATGAGGGACGCAGAACTGCAGGCTGGCCCGGGGGCTGCAGACCCAAGACTGGTGTCTTGTGCTCACTGAGGGGCAGACTCCCACTGAAGGAACGGAAGAAGCTTCTACTCGATTGAAACAATGATCACAACATTATTATTTTAATAAGTTATGAATACTTTAACTCACATAACTTAGCGATGTCTGTGCTGTGGATTCCACAGTGTGCACATTAACAGGGTGAGGATAAGAGAAGTTTTTTCTATTCTTCAGCATTTACTGAACCCCTGGTGTGCAGGACACTATGCTACTAGATAGGTTCTGTAGAGTTCAAGGTGACAGCCAGTGTTCCTGAGTAGCCAATGATGATGCCTTCCACAGGGGCCACCTGGAGTGGAGGTTGGTATACTGGCCGCACCTAAGGACATTACCAAATGCCTAACTAAGGAGAGCACCAACCCAGAGCTTGTCATCTAAGGGGATGTCATTTGGGTACAGAGGCAGAAAGCTGAGACCCTAAGGAAGGAAGGTTGCTCGATGTTAAATATTTGTCAAGGGCTGGGCTTCCTAGGTACAAGTCCTAGGTACCATCAACTTTTTCTATGAACCTCATGTTTGTGAGAAGGTAATAAGGAAAAAGAAGCAGAATTTAGAAAAGGTAATTTCCTATGCAGAGACCAGTCATTCCCCCCAAAGGGAAGAGCAAAAGTCGGCCTCAGTAAAACACCTGGGTCAGGAGGTTGTTGCCACACCATGAGCATCCCTTA